ATGTTTACTTGTGTTTTATTGACTATGCAAAAGCATTTGATTGTGTGGATCATAACAAATTATGGGTAACATTGAAAAGAATGGGAATTCCAGAACACTTAATTGTACTCATGAGGAACCTGTACATAGAGCAGGAGGCTGTCGTTCAAACAGAACAAGGGGACAATGCATGGCTTAAAATCAAGAAGGGAGTGTGTCAGGGTTGTATCCTTTCAGCATACTTACTCAATCTGTACGCTGAGCAAATAATCTGAGAAGCTGGACTATATGAAGAAGAACGTGGCATCAGGATTGGAGGAAGAATCATTAACAACGTGCAATACGCAGATGACACAACTCTGCTTGCTAAAAGTGAGGATGACTTGAAGCACTTACTGATAAAGACGAAGAACACATTCTGAAGTATGGATTACATCTCAGTATAAAGAAAAGAAAAATCCTCACAACTGGACCAATAAGCAGCATCACGATAAAGGAGGAAAGACTGAAGTTATCAAAAGACTTCTTCATATTGCTTGGTTCTACAATCGACGACAATGGAAACAGCAGTCAGGACATCAAGACGACGTATAGCACTGGGCAAGTCGGCTGCAAATCTTTCTCAAGTGCTGAGGAGCAAAGATGTCTCCTTGAAGACTAGGGAGCGCCTGACACAAGCCATGATATTTCCAATCGCCTCATATGCATGTGAGAGCTGGACAATGAAGAAGGAAGACCAAAGAAGAACTGATGCTTTTGAGTTGTGGTGCTGGTGAAGAAGTACCATGGACTGCTAAAAGAACTAACAAATCTGTACTGGAGGAAGTGCAGCCGGAATGCTCCTTGGAAGTGAGAATGGCCAGACTTCCTCTCACCTACTTTGGTCATGTTCTCAGAAGGGACCATTCCCTGGAGAATGATGTTATGCTTGGTAAGGTGGAGGGTCGACGAAGGAGGGGAAGACCCTCAATGAGATGGATTGACACAGTGGCTGCGGCGATGGCCTCAAGTATAGCAGGGATAGCAGAGCTGGCGCAGGACCGGGCAGTGTTTTGTTCTGTTGTGCGTAGGGTCCCTGTGAGTGGGAGATGACTCGACAGCACCTAACAACAACAACAACCTCTACAGAGAAGAGTTAGGACACTAGAGGAAATGGTAGTATATTGTGGTAACTTGAATTGTATCATCAAAAATTAATAACTTTAACATATATAAAAATGAATACAACCTTTTGAGAATTTTGATTTTTACAATTTTTAATGACCCGATTTCCACTATTGCTATATTAATTACTGACTGATGTGCAAAACAAAACAAAAGCCCTAAGTATGCAAAGACGTTTTAAAATTAAGGTTCAAGTAAGGTGACAAGCGTGGGCAAAGAAATGATGCCACAATTTAGTAACCCACCTCCACACAGCCGCGCAAGCGCCAAACTGAGCACCTAGAACAGCGCGAGGTAGGTGCTAATCCGCTAGCCACGCGACCGCTGGGTCCGAGCCACGCCCACCTGGGCCCCGAGGGCGGCTCCGCGACCTCCTACCGCGAGACTAGCCTTGCTCACCGCAGCAATTCCAGGCAGTAGAGGTCAGTGCTCGATGCTCCCGGCCCGCTAGCCGCGGCTACGCTCCTCCCGGACACTGCGAGCTCCGGAAGCCGATGCGAACGCACACGCATATGCTGGGGCAGGCGACGGCGGCAAAGACCAGGGACAATGAGCCGCCGCGGCAACCAGGCAGAGCCCAGCATGGAGGCCGCCATGACACAGACGCCGCGTGCCCTTCGACCCTGCGCTGTGGGCTCCCGGCCACGCCCCCGCCGGTCCGCCCGCCCACCTCTCGCCGTAGGAAGCCGATCTCTGGACTGGGCTCAGAGAGAGCTAGGTGTCGCTGTGGTCCTTTTCTCCTGGGCAGCTTCCCAGCTTTCCGGAGGTACTGGTTAGTGTGGAAAAGCGCTGGTTAATGTGGTAGATTTGGGCTCGATCTCGGTTCCTCTCCCATTCATCCCCCAAGTCGACCCTGGAGCAGCATCTACGAGAAGTGATGAATGCCCGCTCCGGAGAGAAGTAACTGCCAAAATTACGTCCCGCCACCTCTGCACCCCAAATTCTGCAATGAGAACGAAACATTTTGCAGCGTTTCTCAACAAAGGCATTCTTGGCATTTGAGGCTCAACTGAGGAAACTGTCCCACACGTTGACGAAGTTTGCCATACCTGGATGACCACCAGACGCACCCACGCATTTCACATTCCCAAATACCTCTGACAGTGTCGCCCTGGTTGAGAACCACTGGCCGCCTTGCATGTCCTGGAGAAAACACAAAAACCCTTGAGAGAACCAACACCTTAAGCCAGTCAGTATCAACTGCTACCTGTAGCTTATCTGCTTGTCCATTGACTCTCCTACTGCACCTCAAGTTCCATGAGGGCTTAGGGTATGCTTTGTGCCCTGCGTTATCCTCACGCCAGTGGCTGGCACACTGCAGCTTAATATCTGATCCTTAAAGATGGCATTTGTTAGCCTGTCGTGTGCCAAGCATTTTACATTATTTGTATTCTTCATAACAACCCTTTATAAAGTAGATATTCTTGCTTTGACATACAAATAAGGAAATTGAGCTTTGTTTAAGTTACTTGTCTACAGTCACGGAAATGGTAAATGGCAGGAAGAGTCAAACGGATCTGTTATACTCCAAAATTCTGTTTTGGGTGGGAAAAAGAGACCAGGGCACAGGCTAGAACCTCCTATTCTGAGCCTCCAAGATTCAGCATGGAATTTCAAGGAGTGGGAAAATTCTAAATTTAAACCTGATGTTCTAGGTCTTTCTGAAGATGTATTTAAACCAAAAAACAAACCCACTGCTATCAAGTCAATTTCAACTCATGGCCACTCTGTAGGACAAAGTAGAACTGCCCCCATAAGGGTTTCCAAGGCTGTAAATCTTCATGGAAGCAGACTGCCCCATCTCTGTGGGTTCTGACAGCTGACCTCTTGGTTAGCAGCCAAGTGTTTTAACCAATGCACCACCAGAACTCTTTTTTCAATGTAGAATAGTGAATATTTTATTTGATAGTTTGCCAGATGATTTATAAACACATATTCACCTGTTGTGGGCTTCCTTTGGTACTCTTGCCTTCCAAAAAAACAATCAAATTCACCATCATCAAGTGGGTTCCGACTCATAGAGACCCCCATTGGTATTGTGAGGCTGTACATCTTTACAGAAGTAGATTGCCCGGTCTTCCTTCATGGAGTAGTTGGTTGGTTTGAACTGCTGATCTAGTTAGCAGCCAAATGCCTTATCCACTATGCCACCAGAGCTCCACCACGCTTACCTTCAGGACCCTCGCATATCAGAGTTGGGTCTAATTGCTACCATCTGGTCCAAGCCAGAAACAGCTGAATCCCAGTGACACTCACCTGCCTCTAGACTTGCCCAAATTTCATGCTGCAGCCAGACCGGTTCTTTCTAATATGTACAACTGACCATGACCTTCCATGCTTGCTGACCTTTCCTGCACACAGGGTCAAGTTCTTTCATGATATATCTCTATTTACCTTTCAGCCTTAACTACAGACATTCACATTCATGACTCTCACTTAATGTTTCTGCTTAACCCCTAAAAACATATTGTGTTGTCTGGTCCTAAGAACTCTATCCAACTCACCCTGCTTTGGTTTTACTCCCTGAAACAGCCCCTCTTAACCCCATGCAGTAGCAGCACCCCAGTTCTTCCTGCATAATGGGCTCAGACTACCCAATAAGCCCAATAAAGCTTATCTATGCTTACTTAGTAATTTGTAGTGAACAATTTTACATTCTTTCACCACATCAAAGATTTTGCTCTAGGTATGGCAGGCATCTGTCTCTCTCCCAACCCCACAGAATCAAAGCTTCTTTTCAAATTTACAATCCCTGGAAGGGACAGTGATTAAAGCATTGGGCTGCTAATCAAAAGGTTGATGGTTCAAACCCACTAGCTGCTCTGCGGGAGAAAGACAGGCAGTCTGCTTCCATAAAGATTGGAAATCTGGCTGTAAGTTGAAATCGACTCCATGGTAGTGGGTATTTGGTTTTGGTTTTTTTTTTTTTTTTTGGTCAAGGATGGAATACCCTGTAAGCCTGTAAGCAAGGTAAGCCATGGACTTAGTGCTTACTGGAAGGTTGGACAATCCTACTTCCGTAGTGATACTGCCTCGGAAACCCAAGGAGGGGTCACTATGAGTCGGGGCCGACTCGACGGCACATAACAACAACAACAACAATCTGTAGTGAACAATTTCATGTATTTTTCATTGCCCATGCTTGTTTATTAATCTTCTTAGTAATTTCACCATGTGAAATTGTTCACTGCAGATTAGTAAATAAGCACAAGTAAGCCTGTGCTTATCTTGCTTATTGGGAAATTCACCCCGATGTGCTTTCTTCCCTCTTGGTTCCTGTCCCTCAGCTCTGACAAACACTTTCTGATGTTTTCGATATCATAGTTTAAACCTGCTCCGTTAAAAAAAAAAAAAAAAACTCCCCCGGTCTCCAATTCTGTCTCTTGCCCAGCTGGACTTTTCCATCAGGGCATCTTGCCATTACAGCACTTCAAAGTTCATTGTCTGAAAATCGAATCAAACCAACTCTTTTTCTTAATCTCTTTATTTATTTGGACAGTGTACCCCATCTTATGTTCAACCAGTAGAAACATTTTGGCATCATTTGACTTTATCTTTCTTCTATATTTAACATAAGGAGCTCTGGTGGCACCGTGGTTAAGCACTGGCTGCTAACTGAAAGGTCAGCAATTT